CATCCTGAGTTGAATCAGATTTATTCCTGAGTTGAATAAGGAAGATAAAAATTCAGAACTATTGCTCGTCCATTTGCGGAGTTCAAAAGTACCCGCTTTACAAATGGCGGTAAGCTCTCGTTGTAGAACGATAGCGGATTCTAATGAGGCTGCACCCGTGACAATATCATCAACATTGAGAAGCACTTGCGAAGCAAGTGGGAAAGAGGATACTTCATCAATCGCCAACTGATGTAGTGTGCGTTAAGCAAGGAACGGCGTGGAAGCTACGCCAAATGTGACCGTGCATAAGCGGTATTCTTGCACAGGATCAAGTGGTGAGAAACGCCACAGGATCCATCGATAGTCACGATGCTCTTGAACAAGGTCAATAAAGCGATACATCATTTTTATGTCAGCAGTGAAAACAATTTTATGAAGTCGGAATTTTAAAAGAACATCTGTTATGTCTTGATGCATTTTTTTACCAGTAAGAAGGTTAGCGTTAAGAGAACGACCTGAAGTAGTTTTGCAAGAGGCATCAAACACTACCCTTAGTTTTGTAGTAGTGGCAGAATTTTTAACCACACAGTGATGAGGAATATATTAAAGAGGGGCGACGCCTTCTTTAACACTAGAAACTGGCTCCATGTGACCCAAATCCAAATATTCTTGGAGACACTTGTTATAGTCTGCTCGTAAAGCAGAATCTCGTGCAAGCTTATTCTCTAGTTTCAACAAACGTGAGAGAGCGATATCTCTAGATTCGCCTAAAGGAGGTACGTTCTCCTTAAAGGGAAGGGAAACTATGTATTTTCCGTTGGCGGCACGTTTATGAGTTTCCATGAAAATTGATTCACAAAGGGATTCGTCCTTTGTCAAAGGTTTATCATCAGGCATCGATTCTATTTCCCAAACCTTTCCAATTTGCTTATCGAGTTGTCTTGTACTAACTTGTACTTTAAACATACTTGAGGTTTCTGAATACTATGTGAAATTTTACCGTTGAGGAAGTTGCCAAAAATAAAACTATTAATAGCCACAGGAGTACCTTGAGGACCCTTGATATTATCGTGAAGCAGTATGCTATCGGTATAATTTGATCCTAACAGAAGTTCAACGGGACGCGCAGAACGTAGCTCTGGATCCGCTAGAGGAAGTTCCTTAAGATGGGAAATATTTTCGAAAGAACTAGGAATATTCAGTATATAGCTCGTTATATTTGGTAAAATAAGAGCTTCGATATAAAGCTTAGGTTCAGTTTTATTATAAGGCGTGACCTCACACGTTACGTAGCCACGAGGTTCTTCAGTTTTATTACCTATGCCCGTTATAGTAGCACTCGTTGGAGAGTGATACCGTGGTAGGCCGAGACGCTGGACACACGACTCAGTGATGAGCGTGGCCTGGGACCCCTGATCCACGAGGGCGCGGATCGTGCGAGGAACAAAAGGTCCGGAGTCCAGTGGTCGTAAATTAATAAGCGCAGTTGTAAGGAGAACTGTACACTTATCATTCAATACAGAGCCAGACATACCCAATGGTAGGGGCACTGAAGCTTCCGCTACCAAACTTGTGTTGGGGGAAGATAAAGATGAAGGCTGGGTTGCTACATCTTCTTTAATTTGGGGCACATCTTCGTGTATAGAAGAGTGATGCCGCTCGGAGCAAATACGACAACTATGACGCGATTTGCAATCATTTAATTTGTGACCCGTAAAAAGACAATTATTACAAATCTTGTTTTCGTTAATAAAACGTTTACGTTCCGATAAACACAGTTTAGAAAATTTATTGCATTTATTTAACGGATGTGAATTATCTTTACAATATGTACATCGCAATTGTGTAATAAAGTTAGAAGAAATGGCGGCGTGAACGTTCATAGTACGATAAGAAGGCGCACTATATGAATCCTTCGCACGCGCGAATGTATGTTGCGCATCAGAGTACGAACGAGCTAGCGCTTTTCGCGCGACTTGTGAATGACGAGACGGAACAATAGGTATCGAGGCGGCCGAGCGACCAGCAACAGCTGGGGCTCTATTTTTGAATCATTCGTCTCGCGTCGAGCGCTCGTTTTCTTCTATCACTCGCATACAACGTTCGCTAAGCAACGAGTGGTTCATACCACTCGTTGCAGTCGAGCGATTTAGAAATGGCGAATTTGTTAAGTCGAACGAAAATCAGTAGAAAACGAGCGCTCGACGCGAGACGAATGATTCAAAAATAGAGCCCCTGGCGAGTGCGGCGCATGCGATGTCGCGGCGGCGGCGCCGAGCGGGCGCGCGGACGCAGACATAACCTCCGACGCTGCTAGTTCTTTGTCGAGAAAGTCGAGCAACGCCGTAAGATGTGGAATTTCATTCGGTGAATCTAAAGTTAGCTCAAAACGTCTCCGCATTCGTGTTGATATCTTACGTAATAAAATGTTTAAAAGAATAAAACTCCAATTAGAAATATCAATAACTAAAGCTTTTAGAGCACTAATATTTTCCGTATAAGTATTTAAAATATTACGCAAACTTTGTTCACTATTCTTTTCATTCATAGGCTCGAGATCAAGAATTTTATCTAAGTGTTTATTAGCAATAATACGTTTGTTTTGATACCGTGAAAGAAGTAACTTTAATGAGCTTTCATAGTTACTGTCCGTGACAGGAATTGTTTTTAAAAGATTGTAAGGTTCACCCTTTAAAGTAGATAATAAATATCGGAAACGTTCGACATTTGTCAAGTTTTCATTTTCATGTACGATTGATTTAAATAAATCATAATATGCATTCCATTCGGTTAAATTACCATCGAATGTTTGCAGTGTAAGTTTAGGTAAGCGAATGTGTGAGAATGAATGCCCGCTGCACTGTGAACGGTTATAAGAACAGGGCGGCTGCACACTTGCAGAAGCGATAACGCTCTGTCTACGCTGCGTTTCTTTTAAATTATCCAACAAAGTTTGAACATTGTAATATAAAGTATCAAAGTGATTTCGTATTTTTAATTGTTCATCTTTATTAAAGCTGCCATCTTTTGCTTGAAGTATTTCGATTTTAATTTGAACTTGGAAAAAACATTTTTTAATATTATTTAATTCCTTTGAACGAACACGAAATTCAGATTCGTTGTCAGAACAATCCACTATACGTTGTATACTATTAATGGCTAAATCACGCTCGAAAATAAGTTATTCGATTTCCATTTTTATAAATCTAATGTAGGTAGGTATAATAACTGATAAAAATAATAGAAAGTTACGCTAAACACTTTCTGTAAATATTTAGAGTACCTATATAAATATAAGGCTTGTTGATAGTTACACTGTAAGTTATTCTATATATATTTATGTAAGATTGAGAATCGTTAATTAACAAAATATTAAACATAAGAAAATAAATATATATAGATATATAAGCCGGGTATATATTGCAACCGCTAAGCTTAGAGGGTGAGTTAAGTACGTAATACTTAGACTACTAAGGTGGTTAAAGCACGAAAATGCTAAAACGCTAAAATGGGCACTGTACGTTATACAAGAACCGCTAAATTGAATTCTGTACAGAAATACAAGAATTGCTAAAAGTGTGAAAATATGTACCTAGCACGAAAATACTAAGTAATAATTGTTATGTACGTAATTAAAAACAATTACTATTTTTCATAAAAAATTGTTAAAGTTAATGTATGTCGAGTGTAACTAGCCTTATGTGTTATAGCTCCGATCGAGTCGGCTCGCGACGCGACAGCTTGGTTTGGCGCACGGTATTGGCGAGTATATTACGAAAAAAAATATGATTTGATTACACGCAAAACGATGTAAAATGTATAAAATTCGATTGATATCGTAATTGTAGAACCTGAAATGCACACACACTAGTATTATCGAAAAAGATATACGTTAAATGCGTAAAAACTTGAATAAATTTGTACAAAAGTGACAAATTATGCTTTTTATGATAAATAAAACTAGCACAAATCACAACAACGGATGAATTCGGTAAAGAAGAAACAAACAATATGTGTAAGAAAGTTAGTTAAGCAATGCGATCAGCTCACTTACCAAGTACACCGCTTCTCTTGTATCTTGATATGGGGCCCCAGTAAGTAGCTGCTTCGATAATTAGGTCGCTGGAAGCTTTCATCAACAAACACTTGTCGCGTTTTTAGCTAGGTTTTTGGTAACGGATTATTATTGAATTTTTATAATATGCCAGCTGTGCGAGCGGCGATCGGAGAACTTCTCTCTGTCGTCTATATAGGTGGCAGCACTTACAACGTAAAGACATACGTTTCGTTTTGCGTGGTGGTGCGTTTTGTTTAGGGCTTGTGAGCCTAAGCATTGCATTATAGAAACAAAGTAATAATAAATTAAGACCAATGCTTTGTGCTAATTTGTAATATTACAACTAATGAATAATACGGAACACAATTAAATAACTGATTTGTGATCTATCTGCGATCTTATTTCGAAAGAAGATCTCGAACACTAGTTAAATGGCGCATGATGACTAACCTAACTTCCCGCCGGTCCCGCCTGACTTTCCGACACATATATATTGACAGGCACTTACATAGATTTTGTTTCAAAATTAAGATTTATTTAAAGACTCGTTTTTTATTTTATTTCAAAGGTCGGTTTCGGTCGGGGCAATGTAGAAAATTTACTTTTCTATATTAAAAAATACAAAAATACAAAAGTGGAGTGTTGTGGTATATCGCCTTTTTAAGTTTCCACTGCAGGGGCTTGGGTCTTACTTAATGGATGGTAAAGGAGGATGGCCCATGACCCTCCACGCTGGCCAGATGCGGATTGGACAGTATTAACCATGACAAATGTGACGGCTTAACGTGTCTTCCGAAACACAGAGTAGCTCGAAATAATTTTTTTTGGTCACCCATCCCATGACCGTCCTTTACGAAAGTTGCTTGACAACAACGATCGCGGACAGCGACGCTTATCCACTACCGACGGTAGAACGGTATCGACGGTAGAAGAAACTAACACGAGCTGCAAGACAGCAAAGGATTAGATTAAAAGACAAATAAAAAGTAACAAACGTTTAATTATATATAATAAAAAAATAAATGACCTTTATACTATTATGGTGTCATACAAGTACGTCCTGGGATTTTGTACTTCATTGGCAGGTATATTAGCCAGATTTTTTATCACTTTCTCATAGAAATCGATTCCGTTTAAGAAAGTATCGACGCCGAGGTACTCATTGACGGCATGTAATAGAGTTGGTGTGTTCTGTTGGGGTGAAAGTCCGAAAGCCGGAACGCCAGCTAAACGCACGTAACGAGCGTCTGTGGATCCTGGTGGCACTGCCGTTATTAAAGGTATGTTCCTGGAATATTACAATCTCGATAAATATTTTATTTTAAACTTGAAAATTCAAAAATTCACGAGTCCTAAGTACCCTAACATGGGTTCGAACCCATAACTTTTTGCAATCCAGAGACTGCTCTAACCATTGCGATTAATAGACGAATTTCCTAAGCAAATTTGTTTTTGCTATTACTGAGCATATTGTCAATAATGTTCCGGCAATCCATGAAACTGTCGAAAGAGATATTAATACCAAATTTACGATAAAAATGAAAGTATGTAATAAAAAATATATTTTATCAATTCTATATTCACATTAATGATATATTGACATTATATTTGAAAAAAAAAGATACTTTAAAAACATTCACCAGTCCCAGGAAAAAAATAAGCATGGTTATTTTACTAACCCTAACAAGATAACTAGTGAGCCGATCTATTAGTTCGATGGTCACTGATGATTTGTTCCGAATCTACTGGGGGCCGATTGTATTGAAATTTGGTAAAGTAAATTGGTTACCCAAACATTTGTAGATACTTCTACAGTAAAAAAGAATTTTCAAACATTGAAACCTCGTATGAGTATAAATTAGAATATAAAAATCAATAGCAAACAGGTATAAGGCGTGACGTATCAAATAATATGATGGGCTTATATAATGATAGGCTTATCGTGACGATGACAATATATAAAATAATAAAATATATCAATTACAGTTGTTAATTTTACGAGCTATTAAATTTAAACCATCCATTTTCTAATCAGATAAAAGTATTGTACCTATTTGGTTCCAAAAGGATAAATTAAAAATCCTATAAGGCAAGTACGAAAATGAATCTACGCGTTCATTATCATTATTACTAGTTTTCTACTAGATAATATAAAAGAATCCCAAAGTGTGAGTCGCGCTCACGCATATACTTTACATTTAAAACCATAGACATATACTTTTATTTAGTAATTTTAAGGCAAATAATTATTGGAGGTGTTAATGATCGTCTATTTTTCTTAATACATAGATTTCTGTAAAACCCCTTTTTGTTTATTAGAAAAACCTCCTTTTAGAAAAACTGTTTTATTGTTATTTGTTGCTTATTCGACTAACATATGTACGTGGTGAACCTTTCAATTCAATCAGCCAAGTAGTTATTGACGGCAGACACACAATGATTCTAAAAGGTTTCAATTTTTTACCTTTATTTACTAAAATTATATTAGGATTTATTGTTTAAAAGAATGTATTCTTGATAGTTATAAAAACAACTCTATAAAATACTTACAGGTCATTAGCAGCACTCTGAATGGCGTTCCAGAAGGGGTTGGTTGAGTTGGCCATTGTCGCTGGACTCTGGGGGTTCTTTGATATATACGTGATTGTTATATTGTCGCCTGCCGAGTATACAATTTGCTCCAACTGCAAGAAACAGTTATTAGATAAAACACGCACATTTTACTTACTATTTTAAGACATAGTCAAACTAATTTTTGTTTATAGCTTTTGTAAAAATTTGGTTTCAGAGATAGTAAATTTTATTACTTAAAAACCTTTTGAGGATATTATCTAATAAAATAATAGCAAACGTTCATTAACTGTGAAAGTGAAAATAAAATGTATAGAACATTATGTTTAATTATTCTTTAATATTATTTCACTTTATTTTTATTTTACAGAAACAATGGTTGTAATGTAAACCATGATTCATTACTAAGTATAAACAGTTTTAAATATGACACACATACCATTTGCTGAATATTAGCTTCCCTTAGTCTCGTACTCGGTCGGATGTCGAATGTGAGGCTAATCTTATTTGGCACTACATTGTTGGCTGTCCCGCCCTGAATACGCGAGGAAAATATTAATTCTAAATTCTTTTAATTATTAACTTATTAATCAGCGGTGCAAAAAGTATCTAATCCCATAGCCAAATATTAAAATAAATAAGAATATAAGGAGAAAAAGGCCGAGGAAAAGATGGATTGGGTAATACGAAGCTACGAAAGAGGATAATAAGAGGACAGGATAAAAAAAGAAATTCTATTTAGTCCGACAGTCAATTAATAGAAAAATATTAGATACGTATTTTTTTGCTTCAATTTAAACAAGAAATTGCTTAGATAATAGGCATTAAAGTTGAGGAGTGGTGGCTAGTGATGTGCCAACTCAATGTACTAATTGAGTTACTAAACTAAGTACTCGAGTTGGGCTTAGCTCGAATAAACTCAAATTGAATTCTATCTAACTCGAATTTGAATACTCCCACCCTGGCACATCAACTAAATGACACTGCTATATTCATTAGCTATGTTACAACAACACAATATCTTATACATATATTTGGAGTGCCGGTTGTTATTGTTGTAAGTTATAGAAAAACCGCCGGGCTAAAGAGGAGTATTTTGTGAAGACTGCTAAAATTATACATTACTAGTTTTATTCATAATTAATATACATACTTACTAAATTTATGTAACCGATTTAATATAAAATACACGATAAATAGATACCTTTTTTAATTCAATTCTACCTACTTTCATTAATTATAATGGGGACTATTACATATTTATGCATAATCTGTTCAAATTATTAAAACATAGTTACGAAGCGAAACCATTAAATTAGTAAAAACAAACTAAATCGTTTCCTGAGTTTCATCCCGTTAACTCTAGTTGTACTCGAGTTACGTTACGTATTTTAACTCGAGATAAATCGAGTTGTGTTTTTCCGAGGCCGCACATCACTAGTGGGGATTCGCTACCAATGCCGTCTTTACCATAAGGGCACTAGGGGCCAGTGCCCTGGGCCCCCCATCCTCAGAGGGCCCCGAAGGACCGACAATTTAATATCAAAATATTATAGTCGGGCGCATTACGCTTTTCTCGTTGCACGAACGTCGATCATTTTCAAATTTATTCAAATCAATATATTTATATGAATAATTTGAGGGATTCGAATACCATTAAAACTGGCCATCAAAGTTTATAATATTAACGTCTATTTTCAAGTTTCTTATTTGTTTTTTTTTCTTCTGTAATTTGAAAGTTTGCAAAAATAATTATATTTCTGAAAAAAGTTATAACTCAAAAGAAATCATTGAAAATCTTCCTAAGCTTACTTCGTTTTTTACGATGGAAGAAACAAATAAGTTGGGGAATTATTCATCATCATCACCTCAAGATAATACTTCTAAAGATCACTAGGAAAAAGAGGGTATTACTTGTGACGGAAACGACCAACGTACATCAAATTCTGAATCCTCAACATCGAGCAATTGTGAGTTAATAATTGCAAACTTGGATAGTATATTTGTATCTCATGACCCTGGTACGTACTGGAACGACATTTTAACGGTAGAAAACTGTAATATTTGGATTCGAAAAGGGCCAGTTTTTCCAAAATAAACACTGTGACTTCTTCGGAACTTTTACAAGTTTTTCAGTTTCATGTGGTAATTATTCTTAATACAAAATGCTTAAAAAATCTGCTTGGTTTCTAGCATCCTGAGATGGGAATCGCACCCACGACCCTTCGCATACTTGACAAAAATATTTTTACCCGTAAATTAACGAATAGTCTCTGGACAGAAAGTGGCTCCTTTATTCCCCAGCAAAGAAATCTGTGTATTGTTTACTGCTGCCGTCTATTTAATAACACTATTGGTACTGGACATAATTTGAGTTCTCCAAATGGATATAAGGATTGGAAACATATAAGTAACTTATTGATGGAGCATGAGAATAGTTGCGACACAGGCAATTTATGATGAATAATGTTACAAAAACTACTGGTCGAATTGATAATGATTTGTTGTCCCGATATAATATAGAAGTTAACTATTGAAAAAATGTCCTTACGAGAATTGTTGCACTTATGAAGATTTTAAGAGGCTAATCTTATTTGGCACTACATTGTTGGCTGTCCCGCCCTGAATACGCGAGGAAAATATTAATTCTAAATTCTTTTAATTATTTACTTATTAATCAGCGGTGCAAAAAGTATCTAATCCCATAGCCAAATATTAAAATAAATAAGAATATAAGGAGAAAAAGGCCGAGGAAAAGATGGATTGGGTAATACGAAGCTACGAAAGAGGATAATAAGAGGACAGGATAAAAAAAGAAATTCTATTTAGTCCGACAGTCAATTAATAGAAAAATATTAGATACGTATTTTTTTGCTTCAATTTAAACAAGAAATTGCTTAGATAATAGGCATTAAAGTTGAGGAGTGGTGGCTAGTGATGTGCCAACTCAATGTACTAATTGAGTTACTAAACTAAGTACTCGAGTTGGGCTTAGCTCGAATAAACTCAAATTGAATTCTATCTAACTCGAATTTGAATACTCCCACCCTGGCACATCAACTAAATGACACTGCTATATTCATTAGCTATGTTACAACAACACAATATCTTATACATATATTTGGAGTGCCGGTTGTTATTGTTGTAAGTTATAGAAAAAACGCCGGGCTAAAGAGGAGTATTTTGTGAAGACTGCTAAAATTATACATTACTAGTTTTATTCATAATTAATATACATACTTACTAAATTTATGTAACCGATTTAATATAAAATACACGATAAATAGATACCTTTTTTAATTCAATTCTACCTACTTTCATTAATTATAATGGGGACTATTACATATTTATGCATAATCTGTTCAAATTATTAAAACATAGTTACGAAGCGAAACCATTAAATTAGTAAAAACAAACTAAATCGTTTCCTGAGTTTCATCCCGTTAACTCTAGTTGTACTCGAGTTACGTTACGTATTTTAACTCGAGATAAATCGAGTTGTGTTTTTCCGAGGCCGCACATCACTAGTGGGGATTCACTACCAATGCCGTCTTTACCATAAGGGCACTAGGGGCCAGTGCCCTGGGCCCCCCATCCTCAGAGGGCCCCGAAGGACCGACAATTTAATATCAAAATATTATAGTCGGGCGCATTACGCTTTTCTCGTTGCACGAACGTCGATCATTTTCAAATTTATTCAAATCAATATATTTATATGAATAATTTGAGGGATTCGAATACCATTAAAACTGGCCATCAAAGTTTATAATATTAACGTCTATTTTCAAGTTTCTTATTTGTTTTTTTTTCTTCTGTAATTTGAAAGTTTGCAAAAATAATTATATTTCTGAAAAAAGTTATAACTCAAAAGAAATCATTGAAAATCTTCCTAAGCTTACTTCGTTTTTTACGATGGAAGAAACAAATAAGTTGGGGAATTATTCATCATCATCACCTCAAGATAATACTTCTAAAGATCACTAGGAAAAAGAGGGTATTACTTGTGACGGAAACGACCAACGTACATCAAATTCTGAATCCTCAACATCGAGCAATTGTGAGTTAATAATTGCAAACTTGGATAGTATATTTGTATCTCATGACCCTGGTACGTACTGGAACGACATTTTAACTATAGAAAACTGTAATATTTGGATTCGAAAAGGGCCAGTTTTTCCAAAATAAACACTGTGACTTCTTCGGAACTTTTACAAGTTTTTCAGTTTCATGTGGTAATTATTCTTAATACAAAATGCTTAAAAAATCTGCTTGGTTTCTAGCATCCTAAGATGGGAATCGCACCCACGACCCTTCGCATACTTGACAAAAATATTTTTACCCGTAAATTAACGAATAGTCTCTGGACAGAAAGTGGCTCCTTTATTCCCCAGCAAAGAAATCTGTGTACTGTTTACTGCTGCCGTCTATTTAATAACACTATTGGTACTGGACATAATTTGAGTTCTCCAAATGGATATAAGGATTGGAAACATATAAGTAACTTATTGATGGAGCATGAGAATAGTTGCGACACAGGCAATTTATGATGAATAATGTTACAAAAACTACTGGTCGAATTGATAATGATTTGTTGTCCCGATATAATATAGAAGTTAACTATTGAAAAAATGTCCTTACGAGAATTGTTGCACTTATGAAGATTTTAAATTTAATATCTCAGTCTTACATAACTTAATAAAGTCTGATAAGATTTGTCAATTTAGCAAAGAAAGTGATATTCTTCAGAAAATTGAGTTTGAGGATTTAATAGAAGATTTTGCTCAACACAAACCTCTAAAGAAATTATTATCATTATCACAATAAACAGCAGCATACACACTAATATTATGAATGACATATTGTATTATTATAATATATCTTATTAATAAAGCAAATCATAGTAAAAAAAAATTGTTTAGTTCGATTCGTTATTTTTACATTCCAAAAGGGCCCCGAATTCTTCGTCTAAGACGGCCCTGTTCGCTACGTCACAGTTTTGTAGAAAATGTACAAAAGCCTGACGTCATGCGACGTTTCAACTCAATGTATAGCAGTAATTTATTGATTACGTAAGAAATTTAAAAATACGTATTTCATATTCATCAGTAATCTACCTGATGGACAAACAAACAAGAATTTGTTGTCATCCCTATTGATCTATGAGTATGGAAGAAGAATTATAATAGAATGCATGAACATCAGTATGGATAAGAATATAAGGAGAGAAAGAACGAGGCAAATATGTTTATGGTTACAAAAGAGAAGATAATGAGTCCGTACTCATACATATTGCGTCAGGTACAAATGAAAAAATTGGTACAAGCAAATGTGATCTAGAAGTTATTGAAAAAAAAAACTTACAGAAACTATATTAAGATTCACTGATGAATACACGCCGGCATCATTGATGGGTGCTTTAGTGTATATCGGGTACTGTTGGTCCCGAAACGCGAACATATTGGTCACTACATTGTGGCACTAGAAAAACAAACAAAACAATAAACATATCATCAACATATTAATTATTATTTGTCTTAATAATAACATACCTTGCCAGTCGCCGTAGCATTAGTAGGTTGGAACGACGAGCCATGTCCGGCAACACCGTGGCAATCCACTCTTATTTCTATAAAAGTAAATAAATAATACACAACATAACATTCCAAAATGAGTAGCTGAAGACTTTGTACGTTATTATGGAGTTTCTGAGACAACAACGCTACTACCAGTACTACCACACCCAGACTCGAAACAATATGGAATCATTAAATACTTATAATAACGGGTATTAGACGCGATTATTCACTGACCTGCGCCGACGTTTAATACCCGTTATAATAAGTATGTAATAATGCAGCGTGATAGTTTAAAAGTGAATATGGAATCATTTTCTGTAACATTGGCCTTACTGGGAGTATACCCCGGGACTTCAGATATGGCTCTATCTTGAAACCGGCGAGCGAACCACTCTACTACGGAGGTCTACTACTTTTTGCTTTTAGGTTAACGTCCACGCACGTCCACCCACAACAGACCCATGATACATAATGAATTGCACGGATTTCTTTACCTATGTCGAAGGCCCACTGCATCCGGATTTTTAATAGAAGAACCATTTGGCATTTTTGACATATCGCTACGGCGTAATGATAGTAGCGCTATGGAATTAATTTGTATAACATCATCGGCATGCATTGCATTTTTTCGTTCAAATAATACGGGTCCACCCACGGAAAGTCATATAAAAAAATCATATAAAGGAATCGAAGTTCCGATGCGTACCATGCGTCCAATGCGTCCATTAGAACACAGTGGACGTTTACCATTATATTATACCTACATCATTTGTACTTAGGTAAACTAAACATTACTAAATAATAATAATAAGTATATCACTGTAAAGGACATTGCTCAACGTCTATACATTGGTGGCTCCAGAGCCAAAAAAATATAGGAAAATACTTATTTTATTGTGTGTCACTAACTAATTCCCATTATGTATTTATTATACCGCGACCGAGTTTTAAAACTTATTATCACACAAAATATAATTCATTTTGAGGTTATAATTTGTTTGGAAAGCCACCAAGAGATGGCACTCTAAGTACATATATCATATCGATATTGATGTCTATATTGTCGAAGCAATAAAACTCAACTTTAAGAAACTCGGTTTTTCGTTGTGATTTGTAAAAGTTTCTAAGTCAATCAATAGACAAATAAATCATTCTAATAGTGAAATAATATACCTATTGATAAGCTTAAAATTTAAAAACCTATAGCTTTTTGATGGTTTACATCAAAAGATGGCGCCTTAAATACATAAATGACATGATGTTAAAATGTTTACGAGAAATATAAAGGTAATGTAATAGAAACAAAGTAGTTTTTAGGATATGTCGTATGAATATCAATCTTTCTGAATAAACAGAATGAATTATCAACAGTTAAGGAATTTAGTTTGTATAATATTCAGTTTTTATGTCCTTATGTTTCAGTTGGAAAATCACCAAGAATGGCGCTTTTAGTAAATTTAAGTTTATTTTCGGTCAATTTAATTTAATGTTTTTGTGTCCGATGATTTAAAGGTTATCTAATAAAAATAAATGATCTTCTTGATCTGACGTGTAAATTACAGCCATCTGACTCAATAGAATTTAAGTATATTGAATGTGAATATTTGCGAATAAAAATGTTACTGTTAAGGTACTTTTAAATATTAATTTTGGATCGCAGCTTGTCCGTGTCAAATAAATATTTGATTCCAATTTAATAAATAAATTAGTAATTATTATTGAACTATTAATATTTAATGGTATTGGGGCCATTTTCGGCGATGTCCTTTATCGGAGTGCATTTTGGATCCAATAATATATAGTTATCAAGAGTTAACTCAAAAGTATATTGGCATGTCAATAAACTATTCTCAGTATAGTAGCAATGGAATAAAAAAACTCCTGTGTAAACTATTGTAAATTTAGATATGTAATGAGGTAAAAAATACGTGACACCATGGACAAACTTTTGTAGTTTTTATATTGTCATTTAGATAATAACATTGTATATAACTGTATGGATTGGTAATAAATTAAAAAAAAATATATGTAGAAATAGATTGCGGTAAAAGGTAGATATAAAACGTAAGTTTTATAAATATCACTTACGCCACGCCACCTTATCTTGATAAAACACAGGTATCACAGGCATATCCAGCGCACCACCCTCATCAAGCTCGAAACCAACATTCATGGCTTTGAATGCATCAGACTGCAAGAACGAGAGCATTCCAGCTTCAGCGCCTAATTCTTCATCTAAAATAATATTTTATTTTTCTTCTTATTCATAGTAAAGAATAATCCTATCATTTAATTTTTGTGATTGATATTTAAAGCTTTTTGGACAATCTTTTAAGAAGCCTTGGTCTTATAAAGAAGGTTGTGATTCAGAAGTAGTAGGTGGCATATTATCACCAAGACGCACAAGCGTCCATTAAATTGTCATTTATCGATATTACTGATACATGGAACATTCTTTTAAAGTTGCTTAAAGTTGTGATTAAACCTAAAAGGACGTTTGTGTCACTAACCAGTGGGTTACCATCACCACTTATAGAAATGTTAAATGCGCGCATGAGCGGGATAACGCTATAAGGAACAACAGCTGTGTCCCGCTCCATGCACGTATTAAGTTTTGTTAGAGCTTATGGTTAGTTATATCAAAACTATACTATATAACAATTACTCACCAGGCATAAGTGTCATGTATACTGTCCTCAAAAGGCTAATATTTTTCTCCTTGAGCCTCTTTAAAGCCTCATAATACTGAATCGAGACCGATTTCATATCCTGAGTACCACGACCGTAGATTTTGCCATCTTCCGATATTTGACCAGAAAATGGAGGATACAACCAGCCATCCTAAAATTTAAAATACTATTATAATCAAAATAATACTAAACTTTTCTTAACGTTTCCGATTTCTTAGTTTTCAACTTTATTTCTTTGTTAAAATATTTCAAAGCAACTAAATTTTACCGTTCACGAACGAATTTTATGACATATATCGATTAAAAAAAAATAAGATGCTTAAAAATTGTGTATTGATTAAGTTTTTTTATAAAGAGTGTGAATAAAGTTAATATCATATTAAGAATATAACCTGTTCCGACGCAGGCACTACGTCCACATGCGAGTTAAGCATGATGCTGGGCAAGCTTGGATCGGTGCCAGGCCACTTTAACACCAATACCGGCATTTTCTTTTTGAAAACATACTTTTTTAATTTCACTCCTTGAGCTGCCGCCAGTACGTTCCAAAATTTAACAGCCGGTCCTAGGATATTTAACAGTCATATAAAAAAAAACACTAAATCTATCCCACACATACGAATAAATCCTAAATAAATTTTGCAACAAGTATTTGCCACTTTGTGAATAATCCTTTCTATTTACAGTTTTTTTAATAAACAGATAAACAAATGAATATGCCAAAATTATAAAAACCTAATTACTTTTTCAATGTCTATCTTATCTAATACAATTGCATGTTGTATACCCTAAAATTATGTAATTTTATATCTACTAGATATTTATCTTATCATAAGTAGGTACTTAAAGGTACAAGATAAGAAGACGTTTTGTCTTTCGTTTAAACTTAGAAAAAAAAATAGATACATGTGGTATATAATAAGAACAAATAAATCAAAACAAAAGAAACTTAGTTCAGTCACAATTTAAAAAAATTAAACTGACTTCAAAAAATCGTAATAATGAGAGAGACTGAAAAGAGAAAAATAACGATTCCTGAGACATTACAAGCAAATGGATCAAGATTCAAATGCTTTATCATTCAACCCATACCCATTCATATATTCAACGGTGACACTTTAAAACGCATAATGTTTATTGTCATAATTTCAATTGACATACACATAAAAAAAGCATAGCAGTTTTTAACACATTTATAATTACGTATATATCTGCGTTATTATAAACATAATAACGCAGATTTGTTGAAAGAGATAATAGTAAAACCCATAATCATCTAAATCTATATTTTTATAAAGCATACTTTGAAAGCAGATTTTAAACATGCATAAATTAGCATATTCATAATTTTGTTTGACAGACTTTCATAAAGCATAACTCAGTAAAGCCATTCTTTTTAATAAATATAACTATAAAAATTCCATAATTTACTTTTACTATGCATATTTACTTATACCTACGATTTTTTTTATTCGACACAGTAAAGTGTTTTAATGCTAAAATTGTGTACAAATTTCGAAGAAAATTAAAGAAATCAATATTAACACGAAATTAACTATATTAAATCCGACTGGCTGTGGACCTTGGCCTGGCCGTGGTACTAGTCTGTCCAATAGTGTAATGTCATGCACCCGGGCGACCTGGAGCGTCGCCGAGGCTATTAAATTTATGCTCTTTGAATATTATGGCCAACAAAAATATGCATTTCATGACTTATGCTTATCGAAATAATGCTTTTCTATTTGCTAATAGATTCTATTTCTATTAGATTCTATTTCTATTTCTATTTGCTAATAGAAAAGCATAAGCATTGCCTTACAGGGTTTCAGCCATATGATGTTATGCGTCATGAAGTTATGCTATAATGGCTTATGGCAGGTGACTTTTAGGCAGGTGTATTCAACACATGTGCAAACAATTAATACGTATATTATCTATATTACTGTATAATGTTGAAACTGAGTAATATTTTATAATCATTATTTTCCATATATTTTAACACTAAGATTAACGCGAAAGAAAAACCTTTATCTATTATTTTGGCAAACATACACTTCAGGTTTAATAATTTACTCATAAAGATTAGAATATTTTACATAAAAATAACTTTAAATTATTTCTTAAACGGCTTTTCACCTAACCTTATTTTATTTAACTTGAAATAGGCCTATTTATTGTAATGAAATAGTCACGCGCTCCCTAGAAAAGTTTATTATTTGTCATTTGTCTCTATCTTCCTGTAATTTTATAATATAAAGTATTTTCCAAAAAAACCCTTGTGTATTTATAATTCCTCAATCTATTGACTTCAGAAAAAAAAATGTTAAATACATTGTGCTGCATATATTTGGAAGTATTTTTTATTTAATAAGAAATGCACTTGTTAAATATTCATCAAAAATACATAGGAATATATTTCTTAAAGTTGTTAAATCTATTTTTTTTATTGGATAAGGGGCAGACGAGCAGTCGGATCACCTGATGGTGAGTGATTACCGCCGCCCATAGACACCTGCAACACCAGAGGAGCTATAAGCGCACTGCCGGCTTTTGAGGGACAAGAATTTTGACCCATAATTTTGATGTTATTTTTCATTTTCATACAGAACTTATTCTACCTATGAAACTTTGAAAGTACACTAAAGAATTCAATATACAATTTAATTCAAATCTTACCAAGCAGACCCTAGGAAACGTTATGAATACGAGTCTATAATCAAACCTGAACTGTAACAATACACTGAATTTTGTTTTAATAAAAATATACCCGTCAATCCCTTTACTATAGTGGAAAGACTTAAAGAAACATTATTTAATGTTAGCTTGCCGTCAGCGATTCCGCCCGAGTGTTCCATGTAAACTTCATTTCCCTATTTTGGGTCCAATTCCTAAAAATCCTTTCTTAGTGCTCACTTACATTATGAAAGGAAACCCTGTACCAAATTTCAGTAGTATTTGTAGTAGTATGTTTGCCTTTTACTTAAATAGATATCATCACATCTAATTTTCTCTTATTAAAAATGACATATTTAAAAATGATTGACTTACCCAAATCATTGTAAGTTGTTGTATTTATTTGAATGTACCTTTGTAATAGAGCTACCGAAGGATTACTGTTATAATTAAACGTAGTATCGGCATTACACACATTGTTTATTACATTTAAATAAAATAAAACTCCGACTGTCCAAATTTTAACGTACAACATTTTGGGTGAGATGTCCGTATGCAAGTTGACAGTCAATTACGAAAAAAATATTTGCAACGCCTATTAAATACCCGTGATATGATTATTCAAAGTACAAATAAAAAGATAAAACAGTCATGTTTGCACAAATGTAGGTACACTTCAAAAATCACAAAGCTGTTTTACATATTCGCTTATGTCATAAATATAATCGCATTTTTTTATTTCAAAAGTAGAAAAATAATCTTTATGAACTTTCAAATAAACGCACAACTCGGTACATTACTCGTCAGTTTTTCAGTGTTATCTATTTTACAATAAAACCGTTTCTAACTAACTCTCTAATCTATTTAATTACTTAATTTATAATTAAGATACGTAATTGTAATAATAACCCAAAATATGTTTTAACGATTTTTTTACCGGTTTGGTACGATGACAAAGTTCACAATACTTACACTTTTATTTGCGGAATAATTATTAAACAAATCATTGACACGACTATATTTATTTAGTACTGTGACAGGTTTGATGCTTAGGCAAATGAATAATAGGGTGACTAAGCTTGAGAACTTGAAATCAAAAATCAAAATTATTTATTCAGTCTAGGCTGTTACAAGCACTTGTGAAAGCCATCGGTCCGTAAATCTCCAGCGGGATTTAATAATGGGCCCAATGAGATTAATAACTAGAGAAGCAATCCCATACAACAGACGCGCCAAAAAGCTTAGCACTTTTCCAAAATCAGGACGTAGCTTTACTAATAACATTTATACTATATACATATACGTGGTATTATTATATCGTGAAAAATAACTGAAATAAAGTTTTATGATTTTATTTTTGATAATGACGAACTTCTGTACAATCTATTTATCACAATAATAGCAACTTATGTCGTTTTTCAAGTAAACTCTGTTTAGTGGGTTAGGTGTTAAAGCGTAACCCAACTAACATTACAGTTGCAAATAGAGCTTACTTTAGAAAGTGTTATAAAGGTTGATTAGTAGCTGTGTTATAGGTAGTGGTGACAAAAGAGAGTTAGTAATAAAATGTAACGCTTATAAATTACACAGCAAGTCTATAAGAGCAATGTATGGAGGCTAAAGGCGTACAGCAGTGATTATTATCCCTACAGTACAGACTAAAGCATCTCTGTTATAGCTTTGAGCGAATCTTACCACTATAAGATCTATATAAGTTCATTTACTATTCTCCTCAAATTCTAGGCCAGCTATTTTAAACTCATTTGTTGCGCTGATAGTTGCGCAAAGGGAGCAATTAACGCTACTTGCTCTACAAGTGTTTTTCTTAACTCTTTTATAAAACCAAACTCCTGTGTATAACTTAGGGATGTAATTATACGTATTTCCCCACAGAACATAGAGAGAGATTAGAAGTATAATGATATTGATTTAGTATGGGAACCGAGTGTCGCCTCTCCGCACACAAATACAGATTAGATGAAATGATCATTTTGTTCACTACATGAAAAACCGCCACGCGATACGTTCGTGATAACATAAACAAAATCCCAAAAAGATACTAAGCTAAGAAATCACACGATTAAAAACAAACTCTAATTCAATGTGATAATAAATAATTTACTTTAACATGAATGTTGAACTGTCAGGTGGCTGTATACGGGGATACCAGAAGGGAAAAAAATATTTTAAGATTATGCACATTTAAAAAAATTGGGGACATCATTTTATGTGCGAACTATTAAGATTAAATTTTGCTATAACCAAGTGAATATTGAAAAATAACGCTTTTCCCTGTGGCGACTGATACATAGCGACATCTATTACATCGCAGTAACATCGCCACAACAATCGATAGCGAGAAGACTAGCATAGTCACAGCCATTGATAGCAAGACGAACTGCAATAAGTTTCAACAGCAAGTAACGAGATGGCGCTGTACCAATACAAGCAGCATAAATTAATAACTACAAGACATTTAGAACAAAGAAACCTACATCGCACAGAATAAGTTTCATTACCAATTAACATAAATAGAACGTCCAACCTACATCGGTTGGACCGCGGTCCCCGGGCTAACAACACCTAGCTCGGAGGGAGACAATTATCCTTTAGTCTCCCTGACCAGTTGTCTCCATCACCACACTAGCACACCAGGGACCACACATTCAACCTTACGGTTCCTAAATTCCCTATATAACTTCTTTTAAAAAACGCAGTACAAAAACTTAGAAAACTTAATGATAAAATCTATCATATGTCTGTGAAGTAATATAATTAAGCGAGGGAAAGTGTAAAAAAAAAACAAAAATTAAGAAACCAACAGAATTTTTGTATTAATTACATTAAGCCTAATTTGTAATTTTTTCTTACTGGTATCATTCCGATTGTGCATATTAGTGATGTGACATAATATTAGTTGATGAAATAAGAGGTTTAAATTTTGTTATGAAACAGTTAAATGTAATTCAGTTCGACAATGTTCTACAGTGGTTTGATAGTAATTATTTAAAGCTTAATTCAAATAAAATGAAATACATAAAGTTTGCATTACCTAATGTGAGGCATATTAATACACTTATAAATGTAAATTGAAAAAGTGAGTTGGTGAAATCGAAAAGTTCCTTGGTATTACACTAGATTCCCGACTGCAATGGGATCCTCATATTGATAATTTGTCAAGTAGACTGAGTTCTGCAGCATTTGCTGTTAAGAAAATTAGACTCTTGACAAATGTTGAAACGGCAGGATTGGTATATTTTAGTTATTTTCATAGTGTAATGACGTATAATCTATTGTTGTGGGGTTCTGCGGCTAGCATTCAAGATATTTTTATTCTACAAAAGAGAGCTGTCCACGCTATATATAATTTACGGTCTAGAGAATCTCTCAGAGAAATATTTAAAGAAATAAATATTTTGACTGTTGCCTCTCAATACATCAATGAAAATATTATCTACGCAAGAAAACATTACGATTTCTTCACAAAAAAAGTAGTGTTAATAATCTTAACACTAGAAATAAAAATAAACTTGCCATTCCAAGCTTCAGACTTCAGATAACCAGAGAATCGCTTTGTTCTATAAAGACTAATTATATGTTCAACCTATGTCCTACAGACTTTGAAAGTTGTATTTATTATTGTGATATGATATGAAATGACATGATTTATGTAAATATCATTACTTATGATAAAGGGCTGGTAAGTTTCTTTCGCTTGTTCTTCTTGTCAGCTAAAAGACGTCCTGAACAAGTGGTAGGGGAAAAAAAATTTTTGGACGATTCAAAAGTGTTTGTAATAGCCTACTTTAATAAAGATATTTTCATTTCATTTTATAATAACTAATATGATCATTATAATAATAAATTGATCATAGCCATGTTTGTTTTACTTTATTATTCTAAGTTTTATAACTATAATAATAATAGTACCTACATTTTTAATTGCAACGACTGGACAATAAGGAATCGCTGGTCAAGTATGAGTTTGAAAGCCGTGACAAAAAAGTTTGACAGACACAAAAGCGATAAGTACGTACAAACGTCAATCTACATATAAAGTCACATCCGTTTCAGACATGCGTTTATAAACTTATGTGCAAATATGGAGCAACAAAAAAAGTGATAAAAGCTGTTCTGTGAGCGGTTTTTTAAAGTGGCTATCTTAACTCGATTTCTATAATAATGGTTTCCGATTATGAATCAGCATAATAAAGTTAATGAAATTGACGCCTTTAAATTAATTTCACACCACCAACAATATTACGTTAGTTGAAAACATGATTTTTTGTTTGTATAGATAATATGTTGTTTTGAAATTCATTTGATAGGTTTAGGTCTAAAACGGATAGGACAAAATAAATTATGTAAACAGGGCAATCCGTTGTAAAGTTATTAGGGAAACTGAAATATAAGTAATGCAAAATAAGTGAAATCCAGTTTCACCAGTTTCTAATAAGACTTATTAGGCCAACACTCGTAGCTTTTCACGAAGTTTCGTTTGATTTATATATTGTTCATAAAACGTTGATATACTTCGTAACTTAGATATTTATAGCACATCAGTATTTTTTAATATTTATCTGCGTGTAAATAATTAACCGAATCTTCGTAAAAAAGTGCCTGGATAGTTCATTATTTCATCTGTTCAGTATCACTTCATCTTTTATTTTCTCTTTTAAACAGTAGTATTTATTTTTATATAATTATGGCATATACTTATCCATAACGTTGTTATGAAATGATGAAAGAAAAGCTCTAAATAAATTGTTTTAGTTATCGATTACGATCCATATAATTAACAATACGATTCCGAGCAGCAGCAGCCTATCGGTACATTTCAGACAAATGGAGGCACAGCACTATTTTTTGCAAAAGTGCACAATATGATTTACATTGCTGTCTAGAAACGGGGTTAGAAACATTAATGTTGGTTTGAGCAAACAATGTATATTTTATTTGAAATTGTGTCAAATTATTACGTTTTTTATATTTTAGCACTAAAATTGTACTTACCAGTGAAAGGAAATGTTTGCATTAGTTAGATTGTATACTTTGTTTTGCTTTTTGCAAGTGATAATAGCACAAAACGGTATTTTTTATAGAAAAAATCAGTAAAATCACCACTCGACGATTGACGAACGACTGACAAACATAAAACCGAGGAAAGGGCGTCATATGAGTAAAAGCGCATATGCCAGTGACGCTTGCCCCGCCCACTTACTACTTCTATTCTCTCTCTGTGTTCTGTGTATTTCCCCCTACTAATAGATTCCATAGTGTCAACTATAGTCTCTTTATTACCATAAGTTACGTTTTTTAAGTTTATTACCACTATAATAACTCTATTGGGTCACGTTATCGCTTATGTAAATCAACAAAATGGCGTCGCAACCTAGCTTGACTAAAAAGTGCTTTAAAAGTTGAAAAACTTATGACAACGAGGTTATTTCTAAGGAATGCAATCTCGTTCTCTCGAGATCTCGGCCTTTTTTAGCGAGATTGATCTCGGTCAAAAAATGGGCGAGAGTTTAACGAAATTGAACTTGAGCCTAAAACTATTTATTTTAAGTACGGCAGCACGACTTTATGCGAG